TAAACCCTAAACACCTCAAGCCCTAACCCCCAAACCTGAGCCCTATAATATCAACCGTAGGCCTGATCCCAGGGTACCGGTTTAGCGCTGAGGGATACATCTGGAGCTTTCATTCAAGCAAAGAAAGCCTGACTACCGCCCGATCGTGCGAAGGCCTTGTGAAAAAGAAGCCCCAAACATACTCCCCAACCCCATGTCAAACCCACAACAAAACCCCGAAACCCTAAACCCAAACCTCCAACCCTGCGTCCTTGGACAACCCCAAAGATCGCCGCAGCTGCTCCCGCTAAGCGCGCACAACGATGGCGCTCTTGGCAGGATCGGCAGGCCTCGGTGCGGCTTGGTTTCGGTCTTATGTAGGAGCCTGAATAATTCTTCAGTATAATTAGAATAATAATAAGGAGTTTAAGGGAATAATGTAAGTGATTCTTTTGGCTTCTATATTACTATTACCCAAAACCGAAACCCCAAAGCCCCTAAACCCTAAATCCCGAAATTCCTAAGGCACGTGTGTATTCCTTTGCACCGGAGGCGTGGTCTCGGGAGAGGGCCTACATTAAAGCCCGCACCTCAGAGACCGACGAAGCCTTAAAAAAGGGGCCTAAATAACTAATGTAGGGGCCTGAATAATAAGAATAGGGTTTTGACCGTTCCTTGTTGTCATTATAGTATAACATACCCAAAACCTATATAGTAAGGCCTCTTTTGTCGTCCCACATAAGCAGGCATTCTGTTTGGAGGTTTGGAGGGGGAGAGGCCGTAGCACACAAATCAACATAGAACGCGCAGTGTTCGAAGCTGAGAGGCAGCTACGGACACGAAAACTTTATGTTGGTTTTAGGGTTTAGGGTTTAGGTGACAAGTTTGAACTGGTTTGTGAGCTTTCTTCAGATGTAGAGAACGGATTCCTGATAGATCCTGAACTGTTGACGGCTAACGTACCTCATATGACACTGGCCAAGCAGCGCGAACTTACTGCCGCAGAGCACATTTCGCAAGATCTCCCTCCCACTCATCGCTTTCCTGGCGGCACATGACCAGCTTGGGTGTCTGGGTTTCGCAGCTTTTTTTTCTCCCACCGCAGATGCGGGTCACTGCCAAACTTAATCCCTAAACCCTAAACCCTGGGCTTTGAACCACACGTTCTCCCGATGCTTAAAGATCTATATCTGGTCATGGAGGGTTTGTTTTTCTTTGAGGGCCCTTTCTGGTTTAGAGTTTAAGGTTTAGGGTTTAGGGGTTTAGGGTTTAGCAAAACATTGGAGCCCTAAACCGCCTAAACGCTAAACCCAAAACATTGGAGCCCTAAACCCGAACCCCATGTCCCTCACCCAAAGCCCTGCCTAAAATCAAAAGAAACATCAAAACAGAGCTCTAGTATGAAAGCACAAACAATCAGCAAAATGACAGTAGTCATAATCAAAACCCGAAACCCTAAAACCTAAACCTAAACCCTAAATAGATCTAGCACTAAACCCTGATGATAATCATAATCGTTATGGTACTAATACTAACAATAACAATAGTAGTGACAGAATGTGATAGAAGAGAAAAAAGACTATTAAAAAATAGCAATGAGAAAACTAATCATAGTCTGAATGCTACCCTCTATCTAAACCCTAAACCCTAAACCAAACCAAAGACGGGCCTTCGTAGGCGCCGAAGGGACGCCCAGGCCTTGCCCTTCTCTTCACCTCAAGGCTTTGGGTGCACAAGCCTTTGGGGTTTTACAGTGTTAGGGTTTTAGGGTTTAGGGGTTTTAGGGGTTTTCAAGGTTTTCGGGTTTAGGGTTTTTGGGCTTTGGGTTGTAGGGTTTAGGGCTTTAGGG